TCCGGGCCTCTCCTGCTACTCTCTCTAGCCTTAACTCTACCCATCCCCAAGGCTTACGTTTGTGCCTTGGTGCTTTTCGCTCTTCCCCTGTTGAGAGCCTCTATACAGAAGCAAATGTTCCATCCTTGTCTGATCGCCGTGATGCCCAATTGCCTTCGTTACTATGTACGCTCTCACGATCTACACAATCCTTCCATTTATAGAATGGTCACGATATTAGTAGACATTCTTTATTCGTTCGCCGCCCCTGTTTGCTCCGTCCCTTTTCTCTTCGCCTACTTTCACTCTTGTCTTCCCTTCAGTTACCACCTTTATATGTTCATGTAGCATCTCACTTTTCCCTACCCCCCTGGGAAGTTCCAGCTGTTCGGGTCTGTTCTTTCTCACTCCCTTGCTCGAAAGCTCAACTGCCTACGGTGGCTTCCCGCTCTCTTTTTCTTGATCACTTCCACTCTCATTCTCATGCCACCGCTGTGTACACAGATGGCTCTAAGTCTTCAGACGGCGTCGGATTCGCAGCAGTGTTTCCGGACAGCGTCGTACGAGGGCATTTACTATCTTCAGCTAGCATTTTTACTGCTGAACTGTATGCCATTCTTGCAGCACTTATTCGTATCGCATCTATGCCTGTTGTCATCATTTGTAGTAGTCTCAGACTCCCTTAGTGCTCTACAGGCTATTCGAAAATTTGATACATCTCATCCCCTAGTTCTCCGTATCCAACTTTGGCTACGCCGTATCTCTACCAAACATAAAGATATTGTTTTTTGTTGGGTCCCTGGTCATGTCGACGTACAGGGCAATGAACAGGCAGACACTTGCTGCGCGGTCAGCAGTATATGACCTACAATTTCCTATCGAGGTGTTCCATTTCTGGACTATTTTGCTGCAATAGCTACCACCTTCGCACACCGTTGGCAACAACGTTGGTCAACTCTGCTCGGTAACAAACTTCATTCTATTAAACCGAGCATAGGTTACTGGCCGTCTTCTTGTCATCAGTGCCGAGGTTGGGAGACCACTCTCTCCCGCCTTCGCATTGGCCACACTCGTCTTACTCATGGGTACCTCATGGAGAGGCACCCTGTTCCTCTCTGTGAGCAGTGTCAAGTTCCAGTATCGATTAGCCACATTCTGTTAGACTGCCCTCTCTATCAACGAGCACGCAGAATTTACCTCCAACGTCGTCTTCGTTCTCCTACTCTCTCTTTACCTTCCCTTCTTGCTGATGGACCCTCCTTTAATCCTGACTCTCTCATTGACTTCTTGACAACGACTGATTTACTCCACAAAACTCTGATGATACTTTTCGCACTCCCTCAGCCCTTTCTGGTTCAGTCTCTTGCTGCCCTTTACCCTTTCACCATCCACTGCCCCGCTGTTATCCGTAACCTGTTGCTCATCCATCTCCCTTTTGCCACCTGATGCCCTCGCTTCCTTCCTGCCCTGCAGCGCTGTATAGTCCTTGTGGCTTAGCGCTTTCTTTTTGATTATAATAATAAAAATCTTGGAATCCAGACCTGAAAGGAAAATAAACCACACATCAGTTTGTTTTTTAAATTTTCGATGTTCTATATCGTAGTTTCCGGCATATAAGACGCACCTTTTTTTTTCTACAAGTAGAAGTCTTGGAAACAAGCACCTTTCTTTGGGTTAGGCTTAAGCGTAAAGTAAAAGGGTAATTAACCCTTGAATATGATTACTGATATACCTTATACTACTTCTGTCCTGTTCTGTCCTACGGTACCTAAAAAATAAGAGACGTGAATAAAAAATCTTGGGAGCAGCATCCCGTAAGTGAAGAAGAAGAAGAGGAAGAAGAAGAAGAAACATATAAGGATATCAAGGCATTATTGACGTTTTATGAAGACTATGTTGTGAAGGGTCACTAAATCTTTTTTTCCCAAGATATATAGACTAAAAATTTTGATCTCCAAGCTCAATGTTGCCTTATTAAAGTGTTTTCTCGGCCGTTAATTTTCCACTTTCATCTCCCGCATTTATCTCCATTTCATGTACCTCGTCCAGACTCCTCTTTCTCCCTCAATTACTCTCACCACCTTCACTCCTCTTCCTCTCTTCCACTTGTACAAGAATGGTGTACAATACCGACAAGATGAAGAATTAGACACATGTGCAACAGCTGGGCATCTTTATAGAGGAAAGTTTAAAAATTAGATAGACTGGTAGTTCCTGAAAAGTTCAGAACTCAGGACCTGAAAAGTTCAAAACTCAGGACCTGGAAAGTTCAGAACTCAGGACCTGGAAAGTTCAGAACTCAGGACCTGAAAAGTTCAAAACTCAGGACCTGGAAAGTTCAGAACTCAGGACCTGGAAAGTTCAGAACTCAGGACCTGAAAAGTTCAGAACTCAGGACCTGAAAAGTTCAAAACACAGGATCTGGAAAGTTCAGAACTCAGGACCTGAAAAGTTCAAAACTCAGGACCTGGAAAGTTCAGAACTCAGGACCTGGAAAGTTCAGAACTCAGGACCTGAAAAGTTCAGAACTTAGGACATGAAAATAGCTCACAATTCTTCCTTTGGGTGTCACTAAAATTCTTCTCCCTGATATACTGTACCAGATCACCTCACAACTCTGATACTCACTCTTCTCCCTGATATACTGTACCAGGTCACCTCACAACACTCATACCCACCCTTCTCCCTGATATACTGTACCAGGTCACCTCACAACACTCATATCACCCTTCTCCTGATATACTGTACCAGGTCACCTCACAACTCTGGTACTCACCCTTCTCCCTGATATACTGTACCAGGTCACCTCACAACTCTGATACTCACCCTTCTCCCTGATATACTGTACCAGGTCACCTCACAACACTCATACTCACCCTTCTCCCTGATATACTGTACCAGGTCACCTCACAACTCTCATATTCACCCTTCTCCCTGATATACTGTACCAGGTCACCTCACAACTCTGATACTCACCCTTCTCCCTGATATACTGTACCAGGTCACCTCACAACTCTGATACTCACCTTCTCCCTGATATACTGTACCAGGTCACCTCAACAACTCTGATACTCACCCTTCTCCCTGATATACTGTACCAGGTCATCTCACAACAAATCATATTCACCCTTCTCCCTGATATACTGTACCAGGTCACCTCACAACTCTGATACTCACCCTTCTCCCTGATATACTGTACCAGGTCACCTCACAACACTCATATTCACCCTTCTCCCTGATATACTGTACCAGGTCACCTCACAACTCTGATACTCCACCTTCCCTGATATACTGTGCCAGGTCACCTCACAACTCTGATACTCATCCTTCTCCTGATATACTGTACCAGGTCACCTCACAACTCTAATACTCACCCTTCTCCCTGATATACTGTGCCAGGTCACCTTACAACTCTGATACTCATCCTTCTCCCTGATATACTGTACCAGGTCACCTCACAACTTTGATACTCATCCTTCTTCCTGATATACTGTACCAGGTCACCTCGCAACACTCATATTCACCCTTCTCCTGATTATACTGTCCCAGGTCACCTCACAACTCTGATACTCACCCTTCTCCCTGATTTTACTGTACCAGGTCACCTCACAACTCTGATACTCATCCTTCTCCCTGATATACTGTACCAGGTCACCTCACAACTCTGTTACTCATCCTTCTCCCTGATATACTGTACCAGGTCACCTCACAACTCTAATACTCACCCTTCTCCCTGATATACTGTACCAGGTCACCTCACAACACTCATATCACCCTTCTCCCTGATATACTGTACCAGGTCACCTCACAACACTCATATTCACCCTTCTCCCTGATATACTGTACCAGGTCACCTCACAACTCTGATACTCACCCTTCTCCCTGATATACTGTACCAGGTCACCTCACAACTCTGATACTCACCCTTCTCCCTGATATACTGTACCAGGTCACCTCCACAACTCTGATACTCACCCTTCTCCCTGATATACTGTACCAGGTCACCTCACAACTCTGATACTCATCCCTTTTCCCTGATATACTGTACCAGGTCATCTCACAACTCTGATACTCACCCTTCTCCCTGATATACTGTACCAGGTCATCTCACAACACTCATATTCACCCTTCTCCCTGATATACTGTACCAGGTCACCTCACAACTCTGATACTCACCCTTCTCCCTGATATACTGTGCCAGGTCACCTCACAACTCTGATACTCATCCATCTCCCTGATATACTGTACCAGGTCCCCTCACAACTCTGATACTCACCCTTCTCCCTGATATACTGTACCAGGTCACCTCCCCAACTCTGATACTCATCCTTTCTCCCTGATATACTGTACCAGGTCATCTCACAACTCTGATACTCATCCCTTTCCCCTGATATACTGTACCAGGTCACCTCACAACACTCATATTCACCCTTCTCCCTGATATACTGTACCAGGTCACCTCACAACTCTGATACTCATCTTTCTCCCTGATATACTGTACCAGGTCACCTCACAACTCTGATACTCATCCTTCTCTCTGATATACTGTACCAGGTCACCTCACAACTCTGATACTCACCCTTCTCCCTGATATACTGTACCAGGTCACCTCACAACTCTCATACTCACCCTTCTCCCTGATATACTGTGCCAGGTCACCTCACAACTTTGATACTCATCCTTCTCCCTGATATACTGTACCAGGTCACCTCACAACCTGATACTCATCCTTCTCCCTGATATACTGTACCAGTCACCTCACAACTCTGATACTCACCCTTCTCCCTGATATACTGTACCAGGTCACCTCACAACTCTCATACTCACCCTCTCCCTGATATACTGTACCAGGTCACCTCACAACTCTCATACCTCACCCTTCTCCCTGATATTACTGTACCAGGTCACCTCACAACACTCATACTCACCCTTCTCCCTGATATACTGTACCAGGTCACCTCACAACTCTCATATTCACCCTTCTCCCTGATATACTGTACCAGGTCACCTCACAACACTCATACTCACCCTTCTCCCTGATATACTGTACCAGGTCACCTCACAACACTCATACTCACCCTTCTCTCTGATATACCGTACCAGGTCACCTTACAACACTCATACTCACATTTCTCCCTGATATACTGTACCAGGTCACCTCACAACTCTGATACTCACCCTTCTCCCTGATATACTGCAACAGTTTACTATAGAAGTTTAGGGAGTCGATGACCAGGAGTTCAGAACTAAACTTCTCGCATAAGTAGCGTGCCTCGTCCCAGGTAGTGGAGGTGAAAGGATCGACCATCACACAGCGACCGTAGATCAGGTCAAACGGCTCTTCACACTCGTTATCAGGAGTATCCGTTGTTTCAACGATGTCAGTAAACTCAGTGAAGTCTGTTAGGAGAGACAATTCCATAGAAACCTTATACTCCTTCACTAACACCCTGTTTCACATAAAAGTTCATTTTGTTCATGTTCCATAGTTGTATACAAAATATAGAAAAGCTTTAATGAACAGATTCTATATAGATACCGCAGTTAGCTTCATCGTCGCCTCCAGGACAGTCATAAACACCGTCACACAGCCATGAGAAAGGGATGCAGTTATCTGTGGCAACACAGATGTAATCACAGCTAGAGTCATCACTTAACACATGGTTCCCTGTGTGCTCCTTCAGCTGGTGTTCCTTTACAGAGGCTCCTGCAACAACACCGTCACTCCGTTACAAGGTGTTCCTTCCTTAATCTTTATTAATATTATTTATGTAGTCCTTACTGCTTTACCGCTTTTTATTTTCGCTCTAAGTTACAGTTTCGTGTAATGAAGAGATTATCATTTGTGTGAATTTTTGACGTTTTACCTACTTTAAAAAAAAAGTAAATTA